ATATGGCAATGGCAGCGTTAGCCTTATTAGAGGACATTGCCAATGACAGAATCCGAAGAGAAAGAGTTTTTAGGGACCACAATGATTTTCTGGCCGTTTCAGATTTCCAAGGGCTATCCTCTTGGAGCTCTGTGATGAGTTGGGTCTGAATTTGGAGAGAGAGAGACAGCGAGGAGCCACGCATTACCTGTTCCCTTACAGGTGCTGACAACACTTGGTTTCCTGGCAACTGGTTCTTTCCAAAGGGAACTGGCAGACCGCTCAGGAATATGCCAGTCTTCTTTGAGCCGCGCAATGCCAGCTGTATGGGACGGGATCATCCGCTTGTCTACCAGGTATATAAGGTTCCCATACAATGCAGTTGACCAGCCAAACATTAAAGCGCAATTTGCAGCGATAGCCGGTTTTCCTAATGTAATCGGAGTGATCGACTGCACACACGTTGCTATAAAAAGGCGCCATCTGAAGAAAAATTTGCATATGTGAATAGGAAACATTTCCAGTCAATAAATGTGCAGATAATATGTGATGCACAAATGCGCCTAACAAATATTGTGGCAAGGTGGCCTGGGTCAACCCATGATTCATACATCCTTACAAACAGCATGGTTGGGATGAGGCTCCAAGCTGGCAGGGTTCGCGATGGGTGGCTTCTAGGTGAGTGATGCATTTAAAGTTATATGGTCCTATCTAAAAGTTGTTGTTGGTTTTGTTGCGTTTAATTATTCAACTGCCCATTAGGAGACCGCAGTTATCCATTAAAGACATGGCTGTTAACCCCCCTCACCAACCGAGAGTGCAGATACAATGATGCACATTCTTGCACTCAGTTAGTTGTAGAGCGGGAGATTGGGCAGCTGAAATGTCGCTGGCTTGACAGGACCGGGGGGGGATGCGGTTATACCGCCCTGAGAAGGTGTGCCGCATCTTGCTGGCCTGTGGTGTGCTGCACAATGTCGCGCACAGGCACGGCATACCACTTAGTGAGGTGGTGGCACCGCCAGATGACCCCGACCCAGGACCAGTGTATGTGCAGCCCAACCAGCAAGCCATTCAGGCCAGTCAACATGTGATTGCGACAATATAAATGGTAATCAGAGACAAAGTAAATTTTTTGACCAATTCCTTTAATGAGTGGCTTATGTGAGTGCGTCAGTGATATTTTTCAGGTGACTGTTAATTTCTCCGCTGGCCCTAACGATTTGCTGTTGTGACTCCAGAACAGCATGCATCAAGACGCGGCCAGATGGACGGGCCTCAGCACTGGGGGGACCACTGGAAACGCCGGAGACGCTGGACACACTGGGCCCTGGCTGCTCATGAGGGGCAGACTCCGAGTGCGTGCCAGTGGACGTTCCTGCTGTTGCACCATATAAGTCCAAATAAACACAGGCACGTGTTAACTGTGATTGGAGTCTGTTCCTTATTAATGGGTACACTCATTTGCTATAAATTCCATGGATATGTACAAACCTGATTCCAAAAAAGTTGGGACACTGTACAAATT